ACACTCTAAACCTTCTGTATAGACTATACAAATGGCTTAGGCAAGTGCGTGGGCCGCCTGCAACGCAGGCTATATGTCTTGCTGATATATTAAAATTCATACTTGGCTCTGAGGTAAGGGGGGTAAAACCAAATCACATGTATTATTCATTGTTGAACCTCAAGATGATTTCTTTTCTTTTATTCCCCGGCTAAGCCTTGGTGCCAATCCCGGGCGGGGGTACTCCCTTATAATATATAGATTTAGCCAGGGCTAAAAGCGAAGCTCCCGTTAATAAATTCATAATTTAGATCAAACAATAAACTTGTAATCCACAGATCAGGGCACATTCATTTGACTTGTGAGGCAAAGGCTGAGTGATTTTAGAGAAAAATCAGAATTTGACCGTCCAAGAGTGAAACGAATTTTACATCAAGTTATTTGTACACCGAAAAATTGCAATCATGTTAGATCACAGTAGATTAGGCCTGGAAAACAAATAGACCTATTCGTGTATTGTATTTGCATTAGCTCTAGCATCATAATGTGGCATTCACCAGTCTCTCCAACATTGCTCCGTTAGAGAGACTATGGATAATTGGACAACCCCGAAATATAATTTTAAGAAACACATGCGCCACGATAGTCCTTGGTGGCAGCTTATTTACACGTTGCATTCCTCTGTCTAAAACAGAGGCCAAAATAAAAAATCAGGCCGGATTTTTTGTGTTCGACAAGTTTAGTTTGCTAGTAAATCTTGGCGACGAATCTGGTGGCGTGTAAACCAGCCTTTTAAACATACTTTTTCTCATCACGTCTCAGGTAAACAGTACACAGACCTCGGACATAACTTGTTCTTTTTTGCCCTATTTAAACCTATAATTCTGCAGTTTTTCACAATTTTGCAAGAGAATTTGCACTCATTCAACATCCACGACGATCAAAGCACGCGCTTCCTTTGCACAACAAATTATAGCACTGAATTATAAAACGTTTTCTGTTAGAAAAATCTGGTCCTATGTGATATGCGGGGTAATAATTATGGGCTTTTAATGAAAACGATAAAAAAAAATTCCCCAAATCACTTTTCGGCCAGCCGGACGGGTTCTCACTTTTGACAGGCACCAAATTTGCAGTGCAATTAATAGAGTTACCATTTACGCTTCAACATGATAGAGAAATTGTTATGTTTAGGTTTTATTTCCCTTTATTCATTAAACTGTGTATGATTTTGTTATGTGTAATCTTTAAAAGCGAGTGATATTTACGCGCGGCGTTTTGAGTATTCCTACATGCGATGTTTATGTTCGACTGGAAACAACCAGTGCAGCGATGAAAATTGCGAGAGGGACTACTAACAATCAATAAAATAAGTTTGATTCGGTGAAATGAACATGTACAGAGACAATAATTTTCATTCACGAAGAGAAGTATTGAGAGTAAAGTGTCTCAGAAAATCATGAGGCAGGCAAGCATAAGCTTATTTATGTTTTAAGCCGGCTTCCCGGTGTTCGCTCTTTTTCAAGATGAACTCGAGGCAAGAAAATCGCTCAGAGCTTTCTGTTTACAGCCAAAATCATAACTAAATAATCTTCGGAACCTTTTCTTTGAATTTGCGGGTAAAAAAATGTCTAAAGGCTTTTTAAACCTGATACTATTGTAGGTTAGATCGTTGCTCGTGTTTTAACTTAAGCCGCATCAACCATACGCTCGACTTCAGGAAACCGAAAAAAAAGCCATCAAAAACAATAATGGCTAAAGCTTACCAGTCGAGATGCTGCTTCTGAAGGTCATCAAGTGTTCCAGAATCGCTTGAGACTTTTCAACCTTCTTACGCCTCAAGCAAGGGCAAGTACAGTGAGTAAGCTCATTTTTGAAAACGATGCCATCCGAAATTGGATTTCCAATGACTTTGACAAGCGGTGCATTTGTCAACAAAAAGCGCAATAAACAAACCAGCCACGAATTACAGAACAATCTTGATAGCAGCTGTATTTCATTTTGTACACCAAGTAGAAAAAGACAGTTTAAAACATCACAAGATGACACAAAGCTCTCTCAGCTCCAGCTATCAGTAGGCAAGTTTGCAGACGCTGCAAAAATTTTCCTCATAAACTCACCTGTCAAATTTTGACCAATCAGAACATAAAAACTGGACGTAGAGCGTGATCAACGCGTGACAGTGAGAAAAGTCAAAAGCGATTGCCTTCCCTGCATGTAAATGTAAAAGCCGGTTGAATTTTCGTGTCCAAGATCAGTTCGAAATCAACATTTTAAAAGTGCGGCTCATGAAACACGACTTATTTCATATGCATTTTAAAAAAATTGAACTTGAGCCTGCAATCATTTGAAAAGTAGCAACTTGTCAGCGAATACCTTCAAAATAATACTCGAACTCAGAGGGTCGATACCTGAGCCCGCGATACGGTCAGGCGATACTGGTCAGCAGAAACACTGTTTTGACAGCTGTCAATAAATCAAAACATGGATGTACAATATCAGGTTGCAGGCTCCCAAACTAGCTAGAAAGTGTGAGATTAAACATTGGTATGCCTGTGGTGCGGACGGACGGAAGGTCGGGTGGTCGGCGTACGGTCACGTGACTGCCGAATTTTCTTGGATGGATAGATTTTCTATAAAGCTATGGGGCTTCGAATTGAGCCCGTGATCAAATAAAATATCAGCGCAAAACTTTAAACACTACGTGACCTCAATAGATAGAAAAATGAGCCCGCGAGCCACTGAGGTGATGATGGTCAGCGTATACTCTAGTTCGACAGCTGTCAATTAACCTTCATTAGAATGGCGAATATTCGAATTAACAGACTACGAGTGTGAGTAGGACATTTCCTTCCGGCATGTAGTGGAAAATGCCAGATCGTGTACCTGAGCGAACCTGAGCCCTCGTTATTAGTTTTCTGATAGCGGTCTGCACATGTCCCATTTTGACAGCTGTCAATTTGGCCTGCCAAAGTAACTTTAAACGACTGTCAGCCAACTGACAGCCTTGCCCGGGGTAGTTTCGTTTTTATGTTGAATTAGTAAGTGTGACATATTATATCAGCTTATATATAGGGGCAAAACGACTGGTCTTTTATCTGAGCCCGCGAGACGGTCATGTGATAATTGTCAGCGGATGTCTGATTTTGACAGCTGTCAATCTAATCGTACTCATACGGATGGCTTACATAACTAAGAGGCTAGTCAAGTTGTGCAAGATCTATTGTGACATTTGACATCTGCTTACATGAAGTGTGTGTACGGACGGGCGTACGCTACGTCATAACCAAATTTTCTGGGATGGATAGTTTACCAAATTTTCTTACCCATGGTGCTCCGCTGCGCGCGCGCTTCGCGCGCGCGGGAGCTCCGCTATAAGTCATATAGGTATGTGCCGCACCTTAGGGTAGGGTTTTTGCGCCGTTTTGGTCTGAAAACGGGTATACACTTTGTCCATTTTGGTCTGGAATCGGGTATGGTTTTCGGGGAACTACGGGAATGTATGAAAGTATTTATCGCTTCAATTCCGAATGAGTAAGAAAGAAAGAGAAATATGCGAATTCGAAATGGATTTGATGAATTTGTTTGTCTGCACTCTATCTAATCTAACAATTAGCTTGGCACTGGGAACGAGTTCGAGTTAAGACCTTTAATAGTTAAAGTCATTTCTTCATTGATCTTTAAGGGGAGACGCTTGCTAGTGATGAGCATAGCCTTGGTTTTACCTTCATTAATTGGCATTTTGTTCGAAGCTGCCCAATCGACGATTTCGGCAATTGACGAGTTTAGGGTTTCCCTCTAACCTTCCGATAGAGCTATAGTTCGTACTGGAGGTCAGCGTTGTATCGTCGGCATACAAGTTAATTCTTGATGAAGAGACGTAAAGCGGTAAGTCATTGATAAAGACGAAAAATAACAAGGGGCTAAGTATGGATCCCTGGAGAATACCATGACGAACAATAGCGACACTTGACTGTTTATCTCCCAGCTTAACAAATTGGCGTTTGTCCTTCAAATAAGAGGTAAACCATTGGAGGGAACCCCTACTAAGCCCATACACTTCAAGTTTCTTTAACAACAGGGTATGATCAATCATGTCAAACGCTTTACGATAATCTACCAAAACCATTCCACTGACACTGTCATTGTTAAGGTTGAATAGTAGATCGTCAATAATCCTGATCAAGGCAGTTTCAGTACTGTGCTTCGAGCGAAAGCCCGATTGTCTGATGTAGATTAAATCGTTTTCTCACAAAAAGCTGTAGAGTGCATTGTGAACATGTCTTTCCGCAATCTCACACAGAATGGGTAAAACTGATATTGGACGATAGTTTATAACTTCAATGGGGTCTGCGCTTTTGAAGATTGGTGTTACCTTGACAGTTTTCCAACAACTGGGAAACACGTTTAAAGAAAAAGATAGGTTGATCAACTTTGTGATTGAAGGTGCAATAATCGGAGAAGCTAGTTTATTGACTAGCAAATGAGTCATGGCCGTCGCTTTCACTATCTAGGGAAGAGAGACTTTCATTTTCAAAGCCAAGTCGCTCCGAAGGAGTGAAGGATTCATTGCTTAGTAGACCAGGATTTAGCATTACGTCCCCAGACAAAAGTACGAGCTGTGAAGCCAAGAAAAGCTTAAAGTCTTGAGCGAAAAATATACTTTCCAACCAAGCGGAACGGACATAGTAGTCAATTTCGACTTGGTTACTCTCGACGTCTGTAAATTGATCGAAGCAGCAGCGCTTCTGTAAACAGCAAGTGACTCCAAACCCAAATCAACTCTCTTAAAAGGCAGTTTAGGCGAACTGTAAATGGTACAGCAGAGAAGTATAAAAATAAAAAGATGAAACACTGCAGAGCGATAAACGAAGTGTGTGCCTCCCGCCATGTAATGCGAAAAACAAAAATTGCCGAAGGAGTCTTGTAACGGATTTAGAAGCAAACAGGCACCAACACAAATACAAGGTAAAAGTCCTTTTAATTTTAATTCGTTACAAAACGAACATATATCAGACTGCTGAGCAATGAAAAATTTTTCAATTCCTTCTGAACTGCGCCCCAACCTTTCAATTTTTTAACGACAATCCCCGCTCTTTTGCGCAGGGGTTTTCACAAACTGCTCCGCCCTCCATCCACAATTACATTTGTATCGTGCTTTAAAGTGTCTAAAGCTTGTATAACTAAAGAAACCTGTTTGGATCCATGGAAAGTGCAGCCTTGAAGTCTTTATAGCGAACTGTTTGACAGGCCTTAGTTTATAGAGGTGACTCCTGGGCCATCCTTCTCGCCGAGTCAACGTTTCATTTACATGTAAACGGCTCAGCACGTTTTGTTAGGAAATGTACAGGAGCAACCAACGATGGTTTCCTCCTAAATACATGGAAAACACTTTTTAGGCTATCCACAGAACTTTAAGACATCTAGAAATGCATTCTAATCGGCGCTATAAAATTTGTATCTGTTCGGTCATCCTAGGGGAACGTCAGTCTTTTCGAAATGACAAGGGCTTGAGTATTATTTTTCGGAAACTTTTTGATGAAATTCAGACGTATTACGAAATTGAGACATTTTCTGATTCCTCTCGCCTATCGTCATCATTTTTACATCCGAAAATTTTAGGACCCCTTTTTTCTACGAAAAAATAGACTAACTTAGGAAGTAAAATGTGAAAATTAAACTTCAGAAAATCGTAGCGAATTTATAAAACAAGCTTCGAAAATTGTAAATAGATGTAAATTAAATGAATGAAACGGTCATCTAGACATTTTTGGCAGTCTTCAAGTAATGGAAAACTCTAGGCAATATTTCCTTCTCCGAACAGATATTTTACGGAAAACAGTCGTTGGGTAACCCTGAATGTAGGATAATTTGGCTAACCCAGGGTAACTCGGGTAGGCGAGAAACCCTTTAACCCGGCACAACGTTTCTCCATGAAAATGGGGTCTTAGACAAGTCTTAGACATAGTTATCAACAAAACCATATGACATTTGCCAATTCTATGTACTGTTTATCAGTTGGCTAACGTGGTGGCCCCCCCTTTCTTGGCATGCTTTAACTTCGTTCATATAACACAAATCCCGAATCGAAAGATCGAAGCTAAAGAGAAATAGCGCTAAACATGTTGAAATATCATAGATTCTTGCTTTAAACTTTCACTCAATAAGTCACATCCCAGTTTAAACGTGTTTAAAATAATTTAAATGTGAACAATACACTAAAGCTAAGAGGAAGTATCTTTTCAGTACTAGGCCTCCCTTGTCAATCTTTCACAGTAAACAAGGCAGCGTTCCTGCCCAAGGGATATCGCAACCGAACGTTTAGAGGAGATGGAAATTAAATGGCGACAACAGCGCAGCTTTTAAAATTGTCGACTAACAGCACAACACGACTCATTTCATATTTCTTCATGTCTTCACTCCATACATTGGGTTCATAAATGTTGTTGTTGTCGGTTTGAAGATCGGATTCTCAGCCTAGTGTATAAATTAAAGAAAAATAACAACTTCAACAAGAACTGAAGAAATAAAAACAAGTTTTTGGTACTGCTGCGAATTCCGCATAAAATATGAAATGCCACGAATTATTTTCGCACGCAAGTATCAGCCTACTCGCATTTCGATTGTGATTCTGTCTGGTTTTGGTATGGAATTCCTCTTAACAGAATTGTTTTTAAACAGCCATAGTAATAATATATAACTTTATAAAACGAAAGAGTGTTTTCAAAACACTTGGCGAATCTTTGCTTTAAATCTGTTTAATCAGTAGGGTTCGTTAAGGTTGCTCTACCGAGATCTGATGGACTCATTTTAAAACAAAATACATAAATTCTCTGGAAACTTACCACAACACGCTTTGCATTCATTTGTTCCTTTTCAAACTGCGCAAATGCTCTTCGATCCTAGAAAAATCAACAATTAGGACTTCATTTAGGCGCCAATTGCAAGCACTGTTCTTGGCGCCTGTGCGTTGGCAGAGCGATTTCCAAAAAAGGTACTGTTCGTGTTTGCACGACTTTTAAATGGCTTTTCAAGTTTCCTTTGATTTCAAAGGTCGTTCAGTGGTAGAAATGATGTTAAGCTTTCGTACAAGCATCTTCTTTTCATTATGGTTGGAAGGACATAGGGTTCGTGTGTAACTTCTGCGATAAAAGAAAAGACTATTTTATCCTCAAAGCTTAAGAAAGTGAAACGTATTCAATCAGTCTTGATACCACACGAGTTTGAACTTATTAAAGCTTTAAAATATTCATCTCACAAGAAGTATGCTGTGTTGTTTGGTGCTGACAATCAGAGACTAGTCTTATAATTAGAGAACGTACGGGGTACAATCAATTTTTAAATTCTAAATTTTGACTTCAACTTTATGCTCACTTTAATTTTGTGACATGAGCGTAAAGCTACCACTTATCAATGTGCACATTGATTAAGAAATGTTCTTAGAAATGATGATGATAATAAAAGTAATGATAATAATAATTTATTATTGTTATAATAATAATGATAATAATAATAATAATAATAATAATAATAATAATAATTCATGAACTTATTGTGCGCAGCTTAACATGAGAATGATAGGCTGTGCATTACAACTACATTACTTTAAAAGAAACAAATAAAAGATAATGCATTAAAAAATAAAAAATAAAAAGAATATATATGCATGCAAGTAAGAACTGAATATAAAATTGATCACCAATATAAAGTTTTAAAAAGATAAGTCTTAATATGCGCCTTAAAACTGTTCACATTAGTAATCGCACGAAGTTCTTTTGGAAGAGAGTTCCAGAGCCTTGGCGCTGCTACCATAAAAGCTCTATCACCCAACGTCTTCGATCGAGCAGCTGGCATAGAAAGTAAAATACTATCTGAAGATCTAAGGTTATATAAATACGATTTAAATGTTAGTAAATCGCATAGATATTTAGGAGCAAGGCCGTGAATTGCTTTGAACGTAATAAGCAGTATCTTAAATTCTATCCGGGCTTTAACAGGAAGCCAATGCAGACCACGAAGAAGGGGTGAGATGTGGCAGAACCTAGGGGCATTACAAACTAGCCTTGCTGAGGCATTCAAAACTCTCTGCAATTTGTTAAGCTGGTAGTTGGGCAGCCCATACAAAAGACTGTTACAATAATCAACACGAGATGTAATAAATGCATGGACAAGCATTTCCGTTGATTCTCGAGACAAATACGTGCGAATGCGTTTGATATTATGCAAATGGTAAAAGGCAACACCACAAAACTTGCTAATATGAGTTGACATAGTGAGCTGCTCATCAAACCATGAGCCTAGGTTTCTAGCTACTGTTACAGGACAAACAAAAGTCGACCCAACCCTAATGCAATTGATGTTAACCTTGGCCAGCTGCTGCCTAGTACCTATAATTAAAAATTCTGTTTTATCATCGTTTGACATAAGATTATCTGAAATCATCCAACCCCTAATGTCACTGATACAGTCAGTCATGGACTTGATGGCAAAATCAGCATTCGCAGATCGATTGGGGCTGAATGATACATACAACTGTGTATCGTCCGCGTAGCAGTGAACTTGTGGGAGGTGGCGTTCAACGATCTGCAACAGTTTGCGCGTGTAGATAGTGAAAAGCAAGGGGCCCAAACATGATCCTTGAGGAACACCTTGTTTAAAAGGAAACTGATCTGAGAGACTACCATTTACAGAGACACGCTGGAACCGGTCAGATAGATACGATTTAAACCAAGCAAGCACATTGTCAGTTATTCCCAAATCAGTCTCAAGACGACCAATCAGCTTATCATGATGTATCGTGTCAAAAGCTGCACTTAAATCTAATCATACAAGCAAGGTGACATGTTGCTCATCCATAGACATCAAAATATCATTCTTAACTTTAAGTAAGGCCGTCTCCGCTCTGTGTTGCTGTTTATACGCCGATGGAAGCAGAGAATGTAAATTGTTGGCAGTCAGATGCTCCATAAACTGCTCAGCCCCAGCCCTCTCCGACAATTTAGAAATATAAGAGAGGTTACTGACTGGACGGAAATTTTTGAACGCACAGTCCAAACCAGGCTTCTTAAGAGATAATAACACAAGCGCCTCTTTCCAGGCCTCAGCAAATCGACCGGTGTCAAAAGAGAGGTTGATCAGCTTAGTGATAACTGGCAATAGAACATCCAGCAACTTGAGAACAATCGGAGTGGGAATGGCGTCGAGTTGACAAGATTTATCCGCTGCTCTACTAATCAACATGCGCACTTGTTCTTGAGAGAGACTCCCGAAACCGGTAAACTGTTCTTTCCGGCAAGTAATGTCAGTAGCAGGTAGAGATGGTACGGATGGTGTAGATAAATTAGCCAAAGACGCACTTATATTATATTATTATTATTATCATATATTTAATAGTGGCAGCTCACAGTGAAGTGCATTTGATTCAAGCAAATCCGACTGAGCCAGAGGATGTGGACGAACAGTGCGTGATATAAGCTTACCTGAATGGTGGCTAACACTCTCCATATAAGCAACAAAGCCAAGGCTACAGCTAAAACTGCTCCTATGACGCTAACAATTACTGCTATGGCATTCATCTCAGATGGACAGTCTACAATGGAAATGCAACGAAAGCATTTTTAGTCACTCACAAGGCTTACAAGAAATAACCTTGACATTCATGTGCAATGATCTCTCAAACTTCACAGAGTGAATTATCATTTCAGTCACTTAAACAATCAAACGCCGCCAAAACCCCAGTACTATTTTTTTATCTTGAAAGTTGGCTTAAAGACCTTTATTTTTCTGGGTAAAAATCTTGAGTTGATCGTCTGGTCCTTCCGTGTAGGCGAAGGTCAGGTAACAGTCCTCTTCATCCAGAAAACGACATTGCTTTCCCATGTCTAACAGATAAAAACAACAGAAAGAAATAAATTGTTTAGCCTACATCAGTTTGGAAAATAGCATGGTAAGATTTTCACACAGTTCCTTTTAGTACATGCTCATATCTGAGTTCAATATATTGGCCAACTGGTCTTATTAGTTTGCTTTTCATGGACCGAGACGCAGTCATCTACAACTAGATCAGTAAAAACGCCAGAAAAAATGAGCGCGTAGAATCGCATGAAAAGTGTCAACGAGATGACTTACTAGGTGTAAGCTTGTCTACTGGAGTAATACTGTAATCTTTGCAAGTTCTTGAACACTGGTTTTTGTCTAATTCCCCCGTGCCAAACAAACGGCACTCCACGCAGGCCCGGTTGGCCTCGCAAGTTCCAGTGCAGCCCTGCAATACAAATAGGTCCGCAATGTGTATGTAAGCAAGTTAACAACAAACAGCATTTTGCACAATAATAAGAGACATTTTTATAGCGAACAATTCTCTTCGTGGGGTGGCAATTGTCGCTTGAACTAGGGTCAATCGCTCTCCTTCCTATCTTTTCGGCCAAGGTGAATAAAACCCTCACTAGATCTGCATAATTCCTCATGGCATACTCAGCCTCATTCACTAGCTTTTAATTGATCTATATTTAGTCGTGTTCTTGGGTTTCCTAGAAGATGGTAACCTGTGAAAGGTCAGGAGCCGAGACTAGAAGGGTTCCCTGCGGTGCACTTACCACGCAATCATCGCAGAAAGTTCCCCTGTAGGGCAAAGTAGCGTTACAAACGCATGTCCCGCACCTGCAACTTCCTCTGCCGCTACAAACCACCTAAAACGATAGGAAAAATCTTATTGCTGATGTAAACAAAGAAGTAATAATTTGAGCCTTTTGCTTTTTTTTTTCCTCACCGAGTTTTGACAACCAGGATAGACTACGAGCAGTCTCTCTTTTTTCTTGGTTTGTCGAGCAAAACGCCCGAGACACGGAAATGACCACGCGCGTGACTGAAGGCCCCCTCGTTTCTCGCATCTCGCGCTTAAGCGCGCGTGCACTCCCTTTACTAAATCTGAAGAAAAAGAGAGACTGCTCCAAGTCTACAACCAGGAGACCTGCAGGAATAGTGTTTTAAATAAAGTCTAATAAATACTGATGCAATTAAGAGACGCCAAACTATACTAATTAGTTGGGAAATATAACGATTATGTTTTTAGTGAAGACTCTAAGTATTTTTTATGATGGGCACGTGACCACTTGTTTGCACCTTAGTAGCCAAGCTCCACACAGCACCATGGGTAAGAAAATCTAGTAACATATGGATGCGTCAAGGCTGAAAAACCGTCGGTGGAGGCTCTTGGGAAAGGGAGTTTTAAGAAAACAACGGATGTCTCGGGAGTAGAATGCCCAGATACCCTTTCTTGGCGGGAAATCGCATCATGCTCTTTCACATGACCGTCTTCGACCGGTTTTAGAATAATAAATTCATTACACTTAATTCTGAGTTCGTAATTGTGTGACTCTGTTTTGCACTTATTTCACGTATGATAGTGGAGTTCCGCTATTAGGTTTGCCTTAATAAACCTGTATTTGCCTAGCACAAAAAAAAACCGTAACTCCTCTATTAAGCCCCCTTGAGGGGGAGCTTAATAGAGACGGGAGGGGGCTTATTTAATTTAGCAAAGAAGATGGTATCAGTTCTCCATAAAGAACTAGAATGCAAAGTGGAAACGCTCAAGTACAAGAAGTTGGAGCTCATACAGCGTAGGATCAAAAACAAATACGAACTTCCAGCTGGTAAGCAGACCATCCTGGACAAGTCCACAGAAAGTTTTACATTCGTTCGCAATAGGACTCCTGACAGCCGTGGTTGATAAATACTGTCTATCACTTATCAGTGAATAATTATAGGGGAGGGGAGGGGGGACCCTTAAAAGAGTGGAGGAGGGTGGAGGGCTTATTATCTTTCTTCCCATGAAAAGGAGGAGCTTAATAGAGGATTTAAGGTAATTCAGACAAATAAACAATAACTGCTCTTCTATTTCCGCTTGACAAGTGCCGTAAACGTTTGCTCTTTACTTCTAATAACGACAGAATACATGTATGTTCCCTGTGATCATTTTTCTAGTTTAAGACTTACCCCGTCCTTGGTGCAGCTCTCTAAATCTCTACTGCAGCTACATGAAGGTCCTGTCCAATTCCGCCGGCATTTGCATTGACCGCAGTCGCAAAAGCCGCGCTCTGTGTGATAACAAAAGTAGTGGACATTTTTTACATCATTTGGTGTTAAAAAGGGATCTACCCATAACGTCACATACATGTATATAAAACGCAACTGGAAAGGCAGGCTGTTTAGATTGGACAGATGTCGACTAATTGAATCGCAGTAATCGCTGCAGAAGTTTGCAAAAAACCAGGCGGGTATCCTCGCATTATGTTAGGATTAATGTGCAAATTTTTTGTCTGTTTAGCTCCTAGAAATCCACGTTATCATAATGCATAATTGATGTATATAACAATGTCTTCTTTCTCTCCATAAGCTATCGGACATGTAAAATCAGTCTCTATTTGGATGTAATAAAAGTTGTTATTGTTGTTGTTGTTGTTTGTGTGTGTAAAAAGGAGGCACGCTCACTTTGACATGGCATATATTATATATTAGTGGATACGCTTTACTAAAGTATATCATTAAAAACTTTGATTCGTTTAGGATTGTGCAACGTAAATCAGAAGTGGAGCAAAAAATGTAGAAAGGGGTGCTCGGAACACTTGCTAGTTATATTAGCTCGTATTTATTTTACTCAGAAGTTTTGAAAATGATACAAAATTGCACAAAAAGGGGGGCTCCCTCAAACCACTCCTAAATCCGACCTCCATGGAAATGGTTGAAATAAATGTGAGGTTTTTTTGTTTCACTGAATTATAAGGATATAACAGTGACCTACTCTTTGTTCTCAGATAGTCTGAATTAGCTGCTCAAGCCATGTACGTACAATGGAATCTTACGAGCCTCTATATAACGAACTCCTCGGTATAACGAACAAATTCCTTTTCGCCAGAATAGTAGAAAAGGGAAAAGAATCTCGATATAGCGAAACCTGGTTATAGCGAACCATTTTGGTAGTCACTTGACCCTTCTTTACATCGAGGTTTCACTGTAATACAATATACGGTGTGGAAGTACACGCCCCTTGTCAAGCCCACCTGAGCCTCCGCATATTTCTCCATTATCCGGGTCTTTGGAACAACTGAAGCTATCGCACTCACACTCGTTACCGTAAATCAATCCATTTAAAACCTGTATTGAGAATGAGTGAATAATTAGCCCTGAATATTTTACTTGAAATTCCCGACAAGTAACGTATTAGCGGTCGTGGTTCGTTTCTTGAACCAGACCTGAACAACATAATCCAACCTTCTTAAAGACAACAATGTTAGATGCTAATCTACCCTTCAATTTGGATCAGCTTTTTGGCGATACACTTGCGATTGCAACAGAATGTAGGGATATCACATGAATATAATGAAAAAATGTAAAGTCTTGGGTTTCTCGTTTAAAATGGATCAGATCGAATTGACGGGGAAAAGCGAGGAAAGCGTGACGATGAAGTTTTGAACTCTTTGGACGTTCAGATATTACAGACCAACGCTTTTCGTGAAACATTCTTTTGCCTAATATTCAATATTATGTTAGTCAAAAGAAATGTAAGAAGTGGCTTTCATCTTGTCGTCTCAATCTCTTGCTTACCATTCTTATGATCACAACAGTAAGAGTAGGTCGGTGATAGATTGGCACCCAAATGATCCAGGGGGAAGTGGTTATAATCCCATGCCCTTCAACTGCTTACGCGAATCAAGAAACTTTGGCCATATGGGGCGCGTGTGATGAGTGGTTTTCATTTCCAACAAAATTATAGGGACTTACCTCGCTGTTATTGCAGTAGCATTTTCCACATCTACAGGTTCCTCGGCCACTACATGTCTGGCCACTACTGTCACTAGAATCAATACAAAGTGTCAATAGTATCAAAAGTATATTAGACAACGAACAAATAGGCAGCCTGATGTAATTTTTCCAAGGCGGTCTCACCTCTTTCGATTCCCAGATGGCGAACAGAGTTGAGAAGAAGAAAAACCCTGCTACCGGAACTGGTTTAAGTAGTACAAAACCAAAAATTGCAGTGGTATGTACACCTGATGCTGTTGCGAAATTTAACTGATTGAATCCAACTAATTTTTTTTTATCAGATTCTATTAGTTTTATCATTATATATTATATTCAGTGTGTGTGCTGCTTATTCTTAGTCTTTGTTTTTGGAGTAATATGACCACATTGTTATTGCATCTGCGCGTAGCGTCTCTTATGGGAAATTATGGACACAAACACGGAACACACAAAAGCAAAAGCTTACATTGGCAGTGAGGCAACCCAGTTATTAAAATACTGACGTAAAAACATACAAATCACATGGACCTATGATTCGGTCCTGAAGAAAGATGAATTTTGGCTAAAAAGAAAGCCATAATCAACTTTTTCCAGGAAAACTTACACTGCTAACAGTCTCTTATTTTCTTCGAAGTCGGTGGGCACGGCTATGCACACACTTGACTAAGAGAAAGCGTGGTACCTAAGAAAAAAGGCGGACTGCAAACAGTCTAAGATAAAGGGATAACCCAGCGTAAATCGTTTAAGTCGCCATGCATTTCTGTTAGTAAGGCAGTATTTTTTTTAAACAGGATGAGTTGCAGGTCGATTAAATGATTCAGAAGCTTTAGAGCACAAAAACAGAAGATTGAAACACTGTCACAAGTGCTTATTTAAATTGGAGTGAAATCAAGTGAAAAATGAATACCTTGGACATCCTTTACCCTCTTCTTCTTTTGTACATGAACATTTTTCTCCGGCCCTGAAACAAGTAAAAGTAAAAGAGTAAAATAAAATATAAAGAAGTGAAATAAAAGACGGTCTTCGTCAAATCCAAACTTAAATGTATTGATTATGACAGGAAAAAGGCAAAATTGATTCTTTACCCATGTCATGGGTATCAGTATTGGAAATGGCGCATGCACTTAACAGCACTCAAATCTTCCATCAATTGATCTCAGTGGTCAGTGAAGAAAAAGACATGGAGCACTTTTCAACTCAAGACTCTCGGGAAGTGATACTCATCAACTCTGCTTTTCATACATTTTCATTTCGGAAATGGTCTCAGCCCTACAACGCAACAGCGTCTAGCAAATTAGCCAGAGAAAACAGCCGACATTTCGCGACGCCACCACTGGAATCCCCGTGAAATGACGTCTGAGAATCGAAACGAGCGCAGAAATTCCATACTGATGACGCGACACTACCCAGATCTGGGAAATGCATCTAATTGGCTGAAGCAAATTTTCAGCCAATCAGAACTACTTCCCAGATCTGGGTAGTGTCACGTCATCAGTATGGAATTTCTGCGCTCGCTTCGATTCTCAGACGTCATTTCAAGGGGACACCAGAGGTGGCGTTGCCAAATGTCGGCTGTTTTGTCAGACGATTGGCAAATCGAATGCTTTTTTTTTAATGCACCCACTATAATCTAAAAATTCCTTCAGAGAGAAACTACAAGTAGAACACCCTGTATCTAATCATAACTCAGTAGACTTACCATTCGTCCTGACAAGAGCACACTCCACATTTCAAATCACCTCTCAGATTACACCCACTGCTATTGTGCTTTATCTGCAAAGGAAAAAGGCAATAAACCATTTTAACTTGTATGTTTTATTTTCCCATTTCAGATCATGTAATACAATAGGGTCATTTATACGAGGAAAAATAAGGCGCGTCTTACATAAGACGCGAACTGTACCATTTATACGAGCATCTCTTATCTTAGACGAGAACAACTCGTATAAATGGTTCGCGTCTTATTTCTGTTCTTGACTCGTTCTCATGTGAAAGTTGCCCGTAGCAACGGCAATCCAACGTGGCGCGCCAAAAATTTGCGCATGCGCACTATGCGTTCGCGTCTTATGTAAGACGCTAAGGTCATTTATACGAAGTTTTTCTCGTCTTAGCTACGCCGCGTCTTATTTAGTCTGACAGTCATGGATATTGGTGCATATTCCGGTGAGCTTCTGGTTAAAACCTTAATACTTTTTAAACTGACCTTGACGTAAAATAATGCGGTATTCTGCGCCACCTCGAGTAAACTCAACCGCTTCGATTATATGCGCAAAATCGAGTAGGCTTATTGTTTGTAATTTCAAGAAAGCTGAAAAAAAATTTTGTTGCACAAGCGAGCTGTGCTAACTTCGAAAGGGGATTATAATGACATGGCAACTTCTAATCAAGGATTTTTTCCTGGCCCGGTTATTAGCACCTTTGTCCTTTGGAACTGCGACAAACAAACATCTCTTGGTTTCCAAACTAAAGCTTACGTTAATGAAAGTTGTTTTGATTTATCAAAAATACACACAAACCCTAAAAAATAATTTCAAGAATGCTGAAAAAAAAATCTTGCGCAAGCGAGCTGTGTTAACTTCGAAAGCGGATTATAATGGCATGGCGACTTCTAATCAAGGATTTTTTTTCCCGATTATTACCACCTTCGTCCTTTTAACTGTGACGAACAAAAGTCTCTTGGTTTCCAAACTAAAGCTTACGTAAATGAAATTTACTGTGATTTATCAAAAAAACACACAAACACTAGTTAAATGACCTTTAAAATTGACATGATCACACGTTTAAAAAACTCAATCTCTGATCCTTTGATTCCGCGCGGCAAATGCGTTACGACCATGTTGCAGATTAAGCCCCCCATCTTAACAACGTTTTGGGAATTACACCAAAAAAATGTAAAGAGAACTAAATGGTACTTTGTGATTTGAATTTTTTGACGCTGTGTATCAGCTAATTAACGTAAGGTTAAACAGAGTAGTGTATAACTTGAAAGGAAACGACTTACCTTGCTCTCACAATCGCATTCACAAATGTAAGACAGCTTTAGAAACACTTGTCCGTATGGGGTTTTGATGGAAAAGCTGATTAACACAAGAAAAAAGACAATTATTATTCTCAGAAAAAAGTGCCTTTTAATCAGAAAATATCAAAAAAAAAAAAAAAAAAAAGACGGGGATTCATAATGATTTTATGCCAGAACCTTTGTTCCTTAGACAGACTTTGGCAGGATTTGTTGATTGTTGGAAACTATTGGGACGATTTATGACGTCATAAGTAACAAGCTTGCGAGCCATACTTTCAGGGCTTGCCAAAAAGCATCAAAAGCAGAAAAATGACGATTCATAAAATATTTTTCGCCTCAAGCATGAAATAGGCTTAGTTCCTAAAATATTTGCATAAACCTGATTTTTTACTGTTTTTAGTCAGATCCAAGATGGTCACCAACTAAAGATCCCAGCAGCGCCATTCGACATAATGTTTATATCATTTTGCAGACTCGTCATAGATTGTTTAACAGCCTTCCTAAAGATAAAGATCATACAGCTAGCGAGAACCCTAATACCTCTTTCCGAATTTTCAGAGAAGTCATTGCATGTCCCATAATGCTTTAGAGTTGTACATGTGTACGAGTTGCAGTTTGTATTAGCCAATAACATATAGCTGTGGGGCTCACGTTTACCACGTATTAATCACTTTAATTCACTGGTAGTTTTCCTTTTACAGTTTTTTATAGTAGTTCAAGTGTCTGGGGCCAATCAGAAAAAATGCTGGCTCTACAATAAACATACCACAACTGAATGCGAGTACAAGTTGCCGGTATCAAAAGCGCGGGAAAACACCTGCAAACGGCTGGTTTGGGCTTGCCTGATTGCTTGAGAAAAGGGCGCGAAAATTTCTAGCCAGCAGTAGGGAAAAATAAAAACATGAACGAATTAGGTTGATTTGTTTGAACACTCCTTGAATAGTGTTTCATAAAGTACTCACTTTCTTGGTAATTCATCCGAGCATTTACTGGTTGATACAGACACCTTAAAGGAAACCTGCAGACACATAAATCAAACACGACAAAAAAAGAAAAAGGACTGAGATACAAACTTACTGAATTTAAATAAACGTCATAAACTGTTTGACTCGAAAGCCCAGGACAGACAGTCTCACAAGTTTACTTTCTCCTTGGCTGCTGATTTTCAAGCATGCAAGGTGATTAAATTTCGATTCTTTTTCCTCACAAGTGAAATAATTAACGCCCAATGCGCTTATTACTAGAAAATGTTATACTCATCGCGCTTGTAAATAGTACTAAAGCAAAGTTTAACAACTACCGTAAAGTTCCTAAAGTAACGACCTCCCAAAAGTAGCGACCCTTCGAAAGTACTGATAAAATTTCACGGGTGTTAGCAAATGCCAAAAGCAGGGACCCTCCGAAAGTAGTGACTTCAAAAGTGTTTTCCCTTCTTGCTAGAAATAAGGGAAATTATGTATAGTTGCAACAAGCTTTGCCAAACTGATCCGAGATTTATTTTTTAGCGGTCGGTTATGATGATCTTTGATATTCCGATCTTCCTTTATGCACTCAAAAGGTACATTACATCTTGTTAAAACCCACACCGTAATCGAACAATTCTTTTGAATATTTATTTAAAAAGTAATAACATAAAATAAGTAGTAGTAAGTAGTTTTAGTATGTGTAATCAAATGGTGACGGGTGAAATTAGGGAATGATGTCAAGCGCTTTTTGTTAGGATTTGGACAAAACGCAAGTGAAACTATTCCCTAATTTCACGAGATATTTGATTGCTTATTTATATCATGGGCGACGAATTGCGTTCGCAGTCATGGGTTTTTGACTTGTTTATCCCTCATGGTTTTATCGTATCGATCGAGAACTCCACGCTCTCGAGAGTTGACTTAAGTTCAAAATTTTCCGAATGTTTCGACAAAATACCTCTTAGAATCCTTCATGATGTGCTCTGTCGTGTGTTTAGGTTTTCTAAAGCTTCTTTTAATGCCCTCACATCTCAATTCATAGAATTCTAAAACTTCGTCGCTATCTTGGCATTAAGACGTACCGAAGGTTGCCATTGCAATTCTGTAATTTCACATGTGAAATTATAAATTGACGCTGAAATTTCACCCCAAAATTAAGGAGAAATTCGTCATCCATGATATTATCGATAAAATACCGTTTCTCCTAATTCAACACCAGTGCAAGTTCTTGTGTTTTCGTAAACCTCTCCTTTCCTAAAATAAAACAAGTAAAAACATTTTGTTAGTTGAGGACCGCAAATGGAGGCTGGCGGATTTGTTTTGCATTGTTTGGCTTTAACTAATCTGGTAAAAATGTTAAAGGAGGAAAGAATTTGCAATTTTTTCAGGTTTCCTTACAAACTTTAAAAGTAATTGACCTTATCAAATTGGTCTCTGAATAGGTTACAGCACTAGTCGAACAAGAAAATAATGCCGAAGCTCTTGGCTAAACTGGGAAATTATTGTACAAAACTTGAAACTGGCTAGAGTAAAAAGATTGATTTTTGCTGTAAGTTGTTATATTTCTTTAAGTGAGGGTGTATTCCCACTGTCACTCAATTTTTACGTGCGCACGCATTAAATAAAGAAAATACCCGGTGAAAGGTCTCGCGTAAAATAGTGAAAAAAGTAAGGACGTGCGAACGCACGTAAGAATTAAGCGAGAGTGAAAATGCACCTAATTAAAGGATACTTACGAGCAGAAAGCGGTGTATCGTAAATTCAGGCCGGCAGAATTGACATCACGTATTGTTACTTTGCTGGCTATTTTCTGTTGGTAAAGGGAAAAGGATACATCTGGTTTCAGAACCGAGCGCCAACTAACGGTTGGCGACGTTTAATCAAGTAAATACGGTATGTTATACAACTGTACAGTACCGTAAATGATCCCCAGATCGCAAATGATCCCCAAAATGGACCGCAAGTGATCCTCGACCGCAAGTAATCCCCATTGTCGACCGCAGATGATCCCGAGAGGAAAATCAGAATGGCCTGGACTCAAGTTACTGGATCATCGTGTCACGTTTATTATCGCAACAAAAAGTATTGATGAAACTGAATTCATTTAAGAAATAAATGCCAAAACTCAAAAAAAAAAAAAAAAAAAAAAAAAAGAAAGTGTAAAACTACATTTAAAACTTAGTTCAATAAATTAAACGCAAATAAATGCAAACAAGAAAAATTACTTAAATACTATCAGTGAAACAATAGCTCTTGAAGAGCAAAGTAGTGTCTTGCTTCAATTGCTGGTTAGCATTAAAACTAAACAGAACTTAACTTCACATACTGCATTTCAATTACATACAAAATTTTTAACAACAAATTCCTCAAATCTGTCTATCTTAATATACCTCGTATCAACGTGAGAAAATGATAACTTAGTGTAACGGCTTATGTTTCTATAAAACAACCCAAATAAAAGCTCGCTCTAGTACAACACCATTTGGGGAATTCTTTGCTCATTGATACAAAATTTTCCTCGTAATCGTTCCTTCGTTTCTGTTTCCCTGATTTGTATCTTTATAACTGTCTCTGTCTCCAGCAGACGCGACATTTTCACGAGCTGTAGTTGCTAAGTGTATCTCGAAATTGACCGGAAACTTCTAGAGGGATCATATTTCCCTATTCTTAGGCGTTAAAATCTGAAAGACAAGTTTCGTTCTTAACGTCCTTCCGTCCCTAAATTTTCACAGCAACGAAACATTAAATGCTCGAAAGAAAGGATAAAAAAATGCCAAAAGAAACAGTTCGGTTATTTATCCTTTTATTCATGTCATTGCTCTACGCGTCAAGTTTTCAGCAAATTTACCATCCATGCCCGAAATCCATTCTATTCCTCTACTTTTCACGGGATCTCTTGCGGTCGACAATGGAGATCATTCGCGGTACTGTACTGTACCCCCAACAAGCATGTATTTGTTTTTGTGAAGTCACTGCTTCCGATGCTTATTAACACCCTTACCGTCCTCAAGGAAGAATATAGAATATATCTCGCATCTTTACAACAATCACATATCCAAACGTGGAATCCATACCGAAATTCTCCTAGGGAAAGTTAGCTAAGTTGATTTTTCGCTCTAGTTTTTAAACCAGGGACTAAATCCTTATGATGTTACCTTTCAAATGAAACCACTTTAGCAAATGTTTGCATAAGAGCATATTTACTAAGGATTTTACAAAAAGAAATTAGGAATTTACTAGTAGGTAAGTTTTCACAGGGTTATCTCTAGAGTTAAGATAATATAACTCAGAGAAATTTTATGTACAGTAATATACTTACATAAAGGACTCTCTTTCCCATGTGATAGAGTTAAATTGGATGAACTTACAGAAAGGGTAAAAATATCTCCTTTAAAATAGATGTTAATCAAAGGGTGTTAATGAACGTTAATCTGAATGTAAACACATGATATCTGTTTAAAGCAAATGGTTTCGTTTCAATTTCTCTTCGCGCAAGCCCGCTTTATAACAAACTGCCTTCACTAGGAGCACTAAGTCGCTGTCCGGGAAAGTGGGGGTCCAAAATAAAAGCAGTTTATCGCACTTTTGGTGCTTGAAATCCAGTTAGGTTTACGTAAGCCCTTCCAAATACGTTTTTTTTTTTTATCATTACACAACGGTTCTCGTAAACAGATGCTCTATTAAAGATTGTTTCTTGGCTAGAAAAGCACACCGCGACCAGAAGTACCACATTGTTACTTGGCCAATGTTTCCGGCAAGCGCTTAAATTTCCATTGAGAGTCTTAGACATAAGTTTTATAGTTAGACTGCTTTCCTTTTTCGTGTTAGAACAAACAATTTACAGCTCCTGCGATAAGAAGAAAGAAATTTTAAAAATTTGCATGTTGAAATTGTAGGAATATCCGTTTTTATCTAAAACGACATTACTTGTATGAGACAGTTTATGAAACAAATATGAACAATCCTGAAATCAGACACTACACCTGAAAATCTTTTAACCATGCAAGCAAGAAAATAGAAAATACTTTGCAGTATATTCTTTTCAAGCATCTAGTCATTAGTGAAGCTTCATTTTCTTTAGACTCAGTTAATTAATACAAAACGTTTCCGATTTTCTGCTGGTTGAAAAGAACAATTCTCTTTACGGTTGTCTGTAGCGCAGGCATTGGGGTTTCTTTTTAGCTACTTTGCATATGCTTAATCAACAGCATTGTTGTCGATTGCTTCAAAACTCACCTGCTCAAATAGATAAGCAGTATCCAAACAAGATTATACTACCTTCGCTAAATGTGCAATTATTTTATGTTTGAACTCAGCTTGGAGGGTAAGTATTTATAAATTTTAAATAATCTTTGTCCAACAATATTAACTCAAAATACCAGGAAATTTTAATTTATCCTGCTGGTATCTAAATAAGCATCTTGAAAAACTGTGTCTTTGAAAACGAATACTTGTAACTCAAACGAGACCTAAATGTGGCAGGCAAGACAAAATAATACGATAAAGTCGCTAATAGTTCGCGAGGCCGGGTCAGTCGCTACTCATAGATTTACTCATATATTTCCTCGAAACAAACTTTGATGGTTGAGAATAAAAGATTTACCGGCATTAAACAGACTAGTATTTTCCTACATGATTTTCAAAACCTGATGGTGTTCATTTTTGGCCAGATTTGCAAGAATATCCACTTGAACAGACCAGGATAAACAAAATTATTTGGGACAGTTATTACACACGTACGAGGTGGGAGCACGTTCAACATTATGAATGGCGTGGTCTTAATTTTCCATTTCAATTACAAAATTAAAACGGAAAATGACTAATAATGATTTGATAATAAGGCCAACGAAAACCCAAAATTAATACTGACTCTTGGTTTGCAATAAGCCTGATGTTTCCCTCGAATTCGTCTCGGAAAACATCAGGACTCTCGGGAAAACAAAACTGTTTCCTTCGGGATCTGACATTAAGTGCATAATATTCAACATACAGGTTTTTTTGGTCTCTTCAAGGAGGGCTTATAGGACGCAAAAAATTGCGATGTAGTAAATACTTAAATTTGCATTTTTTATTCGTTTGAGCTCAAACTTTGCAGGATGTTAGAACTTTGTATTCCAAAAAATACTATGCTTTTTGTTTTTCGATTTTAACGCTTTTTCGCGGGAAAATGGCGTCACAAAATTGACTGCAAAATTAAAATTTGAAGATATGGCAAAACAAATAAAGCTCAAACGAATGAAAAATTCAAAATTAGTTTCTACCTCGCAATTTTTTGCGTCTGTTTGCGTCCTATACGCCCACCGTGCTTTTTAAAGCTTAGGAGGTCTACTTTTCAGGAGAAAAATAAAGATTTATGGTGCGCCAATGAAGCCTTCCGAATTATTTTGCTTCAAAGACACAGTAAACTTTGCGGCGTTATTATTTTTCTTAGCGACAGGCAATAAAAAATTCCAGCGGGCAATGATGCAAATGAGATCAATTCTGCCTCAGTTGGAACTTTCGCGCACGGCTTTATTAGGCTGTCGCCTCGCTGCCCGCGTCTTCGCGAGGCTGTCGGACATCAACTTCGATATTGAAACATATTCGGTTAATAAGGCATTGAGAACGCTATTTTACTTTCTTCCTCTTTAGTAATCAGTTTCCAAGTACGAAAAAAATGAAATGTTTTTAATCCGAATATATTTTTTAATTAAATGATTTTTTCCAATCAAAATTAAGTGTTTTTTAATCGAGAGGGATTGCAAACAGTGTTTTGACTGAATAGCTTTTTAAGCGAATTGTTGTAAATAGGACTTTTTAATAGTTAGCACTGGTATCAATAAATTTTTTATTGTTTATTTTTTAAAATTTAAAAAAAATGTTGTAATTATTATTATTATTATTATAGAGTGCGGCACATCCAAGGGTTCAATTTAAATTGATATTTCTTAGAGCAAAATTTATGTCTTTGCTTCATCATCATTTACTCTTCTGTAGTTTCATGATTGTAGAAAATTATAAAAACGCTTCATTAAATTAGCACGAAGTTTAGAAATGAGCGTTAATTCAAGTCACGTTCATTTTTGTAAACCTTAATTTCCGCGACCTTGATTTCCATTATTTCGGCCTCAAATTCTCAATACTCTTTGCACATTCTTGACACCTAAGAAAGAGGAGTATTTTATCAGGATGGAGATCCGCCAGCACCAGTAAAACCCTGATGAACCCTCGAACTGGCAGGATTTCTTCACTTGGCCCCCTTCGTACGTTTAGGGAAAGTGCTACGAACAAAGTTTCCATTTCGGATGATTTGTTGAACTTTGTTCCTGTTGTCTCAACATGTTTTGTTTCTTTGTGCACGTCGCGTTAATTTCCTTCATTCTGAAATGTTACCCTTCCTTTTGCGTTAATTTCCTTCATTCGACAGTCGTTTTCCATCACACTGTCATTAGCGCGAATCTAAGTGGCGTTAATTTCCAATACCTTTATTTCATGGAGAGTTACGTTAATTTCCTATTATAAGGTATTTCTCAAAAACAATCAAATATACTTATACAACACTAAGAGCAGAAGATTACTGTCCCATTATAATTGAACTTCCAATTATTTCGACGGGCCGGAGTCGTTTCCAGGACATTTGGACCAAATGAAAAAAAATATATATATAAATTTCCGTTATTTACCCTCGGCAGTATTTATAGCACTAATGCCAGTAGGGCCGAGCAAATTCCTGAAACAAATAAGTTGAATCCAACATAACAGGGTTAAGGATCCCAACTGGCCGGAAGCAAACCAGCTGGCCATTTACAATGAAGCGTGGTCGAGGATTTAAATTCGGGGACTACCGAGAACAAATCCAGCTGGCGGTCAGGGCGGGACTTGTACTCGGAGCATCCGAATTGCAAGTCCAGCGCTCTAACCGCTCGGCCACGCTGCCTCTCTTGGAACACCACGAGAACATAAAGGTCCTCTAGGTCGTTTTTAGTGTCGTCACGCAATGGAGGAGCGTTGCGTGACGACACTAAAAACGGCTGTGTAGCAGACTAGGTTTTCGGAGGTCTAGGCCACTTGCACGATAGCGTCGTTTTAATACTGCGACCAGAATCCTTCAGGGTTTTGCTTCCTTGAGCAAATTATCTTTTGTTATTTAACCCTTACTGGGACTACCAAATTTCAATATGATGGGAAAAACAAAACGTTCTGATCTTAGTAGTAAAAAAACGTCATCGTAAAAATGGCCCATTCTGGCTTGTCATATCTGATTTGTGTCAAACTATGTTTTTTCTTCTCTTTCCCACTGTAAATTTACCTGATCTGGAGTAATATTGCACCATATTCTACCTACAAATGTTAATCTTTTCCGTTTAATTTGGAGAAGAATAAGTAAGATAAAAGTATTTTCGCTGACAAAATCGGAGCAAAACATTCTCCACAACCAATTTGTCACAAATTGGCTTTTTTCGACAAACGTTCGTCAAGTGGGTTAACGATTTTTTTTTCGAGGAACAGGTTTTTTAAATTGGAAGAAAGGCAATTCTCATGTTCAGTATGTTAACCCCATGGACGGATCGAGCCAATTCGAGCCAATTTAGTGCGTCGCAAATTATGCATTTCTGAACGGACTTAGCTTTCAGTTGAAGTGATTAAGTTCAGTAAGCACGACAAATTAAGAAGGGATAGATCTATGCACAAACACGGTGACTTCATTTTGGGAAATTCTAACCAATCCTGCCAGAGTTTTACAAACAAAATTCTGCTAAAATTTGGGCGAAAATTCGCTGCCAATTTCACCATCCCCTACCTAGCTACTCGTTCTAGATAAAATTTCCTTCTCAAGTTCTGGATTAAAGATATTCAGCAACAATTCGATGAGAAAGAAAGAAGATCAACTGACTAACAATGCTACACATAGAAAATAAAGGAAAAAGAGAAAAGAGAGCAAGAAAGAAGGATCCAAAATATTCGCCCAAAAATAGCTTTATATGCGCATTCACCATAAACGAAAAATTACAGCCAGCTAGGAAAATTTTCGCCATTTTCATGCTAATCCGCGGAAAAAAATATCCAGAAAGGAGGATCTGGTAAAAATGGGTTCTTTTTTACGCTACTTAAATTCGGTAATCCAAGGGTTTCCTTTGTATTTCCTCTGACAAAGTTTACTAACACGTTTTGTTATCTAAAACGTCATACATTAGTTCTTAATTTAAGTTTTCTTTCTTTAACAGAGTGGCTAAAACAGGTACCGGATCATGGTGAGCTTCCTGGCTGCCTTATTAAACTTTGCGGTCAGAGTATAGTTAACCATGAACAACGAAACCATATTCCCCACCCCATGGCTACCTTCAAAGCTCTTTGGAAGCAATTCAACTCAATTGAGCAATCACACAAAGACGCTGGGTCTAATCTACGTTTTTACGCCGGCTGGAAACATCACAAAACGTGTTCTATGCGTCGTTTTGTTATTTCTTGGTATAGTGGGATTTCTTGGAAATTGTTGCATATTTTACTTTCTCGGGAAAAAGCCGAAGAGAAATGTTATACAAACAAATCGCTTCGTTACCAATCTGAACTTATACATAAGGAGCTTATCTCTGTCAGATCTCCTTAACTCGGCAGTCTCGGCACCTCTACTCTGCATTCAAATCTCGTTTGATGTATTTCAAAGAGGGTGGGCTTGCAAGGCGGTGCGGTATACTAACTTCTTTTTCTCAGCTGCTACCGTAAACACCCTTGTGGTGATAAGTATTGAGAAGTATTTAGCGACTCGCACCGTTTTTCGCACAGTCACAACCAGGAGCATGCGCAGAATGATCATTTTTGCGTGGTTACTGGGAGCACTCTTCATGTTACTCCCTGCGGCGACATATGACGGAACAACTGTGGTCCTTAATGACACTCACTACACTGTCATCTGTAAAAATAACGAACACTTCTTTCCATTTAGAGTAACATGGATCATTCTTCCAATACAGTACATTTTTCCAGGGATATTCGTCACGTATGTCAACCTCTGTTTGATGAAAACCGTATGGGACAGCGGAAGACGACAGGTTGCCACGGTGACGAAGAGAGATTTTCAGGCCGAGCTACGCCTCAAAAAGATTAGGGGGACCACACTTCTCGTTGCATTAACATTCTCTTTTATAATCCCTTTCTTTTTCTTTTTAGGAAACATTGCATATACGCAGATAGCTAAGCCACAGCGTGACTTTACAACTGATTACGCGTGGCGTTATGGAACGGGTTGTGTCGTGTATTTAAGCGCTCTATTGAACTTTGCAATCTACTTTGTCCAAGTGAGAAGCTTTAGATTATTCTTCATTGACCTGATTCTGTGCAGACGAGATGACAATAACCATCTCTCTGATATTGTGGTCTCAGGCGAACCAGCAGTCACTTTTAAAGCTAAAAGCGGAACGCAAAAAAGAGAAGAAGAAATTACAGGGATAAAATTTACAAATCGAACTGAGTAGAAAGACAGACCTGACTTGCGATTTGGAAATATACAGTACTATGACATTCGGACTTCGCTGGGAAGAACAACCTCAAACAAACCAGCGCCATCTAAAAAAGCTAATGTAATTCTATGAAGTAAGTCTAAGGTACAGATCTAGGTCTCTGACCGAGGAGAAAAGTACAGCTCAGCTACAAAGTTTGCACTTGAGATAAATTAGGGGGTGTTAGGTGAAAAAGTAAAAATTTATGAGACACTAATAGGGAAGGGGATGCAAAGGGTTACCCGAAGACTCATCCCAACCCCTCCACCCACAACCTCGCAGTATTGGCTCGTTCTCAAACCTTCCCCATATTTTCTTGAAAGGGTAAAGTGTATCGGAATTATAATTAACACGACCTAATTCTCTTTTTTTAAGTTGATTTCAGTATATTTTTAAAAAAAAACTAGATTTACAGCTCTTCACAGAAGATGACAATAAATACTCTTCGGTCAATCGTGGAGAGATGTAGATAAGGTAAAATAACTTATTATAAGAGAACTTTCCTTTTATCAGCTTACTTATCAACAACAAGTAAATGAAACTTGCATGAAACAATATAGGCTGCTTTTATGTGTCTAAACATTTTAATTATCTGCGCCACTCAGTTTTGCCCTAAAACCACTTAAAAAAGTCGCGTGATGTAATTCTGAGGGTAAGCTGTCCCAAACCGCGCTTAACTGACTCTTAAGATAATCAGAGCGGGGGTGCGGGAGGGCCAGTTTTGTCTTAAGAATTCCTGCTAACTAGTAAACTTACCGTTGACACCAAAAAACTTGATCTTAAATATTTTCACTGGTGTCGTTCCATGCAAGGTTTTATACATCGTTGACAACAGATTTCTTTTCTAGTCTTTTGATGACAGTTTTCGCCACCCTAATGCCTAGAAGAATACTGTCCTGACTTATAGGCCGTAAATATCGGTTGTATTATTTTGAAGCTCACCCTGTAGGCTTGTCCGATGGCCTGCACAATGTTGGATGAGCCCTGTTTCAGCTCGCCTGTTTCCGCATAAGTTTCGTTTCCTAGAAACCTGGCCAGTTCCTGGAAAATGTAAGTCAAAAAATTTGTAAGGACTAACAATTGGTACATGCGGCAGAAAAGTAAAAGCTTCAATATTCGCGCATGTCGTACAAACATTTTTGTGATAAAGTAACTTTGGGGAAACATTGAATTTACGATTACAGTTGCAACCTCTTTTGGAGAACCTAGTACGGGGGCAGACGGATACAGACAAGGAAGGGAGGGGCAATGGGGCTTCAGTATCCCTCAGGGCGTAGGGCTCCTCTCTAGCTCCTAGTTAGCCTGTGACCATGCCCTCCCCATATCAATACTAGGGACCGTAAGATCCTAGGACGGTGACGGCAGAGAAAACGTCGCTGAAAAAGTGAATTCGCGTTCTTTCAATCTTCATCGCGATTACTCCAAGTCACTAACTTTGTCAAATGTAGGCGAACCCTCCCAAAGTTGAATTCCTACGAACCATATAATTCAAGTTCAGAAAGAGAAAGGAAATTTCGTCGTCGCTTGTGTACTTCCTCTGTACGACCCTCTGTACATCGTGAAATTAGGCATTTTCACAGCGTAGTCGTGCAGTGACGGCAAAGAAATGTACAAAAAAGCGTGATGCAAGTGCAAAATTATTGTTTTGCTAATTAAACCTATTGCTTTTGTGGCGTTCCCGTTGCCGTCACCGTCGTCGGATCTTAAGGTCCCTACTGTGTTTTTTGGGGGAGCAAGGGTGGCGTATTGCATAGAGCACCGGCCTCCCACCAATGTGGCCCGGGTTCGAATCCTGGCGTCCACACCATATGTGGGTTGAGTTTGTTATTGGTTTTCTCCCTTGCTCCGAGAGGTTTTTCTCCGGGTACTCCGGTTTTCCCCTGTCCTTAAAAACCAACGCTTCAAATTCCATTTCGATCTGGAACGCACGGACACGTTTCAACGCGTACGAGTTCTTAACTACTCCTAAGCGCTCCGTGGATAACAAATTACAACACAATTACGACGCCTGGTTGCAGGTTAGCTCTCAAACAGACAACGCCTCCAAGCATAAGTGTTTAAAGTGGACAAAATTGCTTTTATTTTGAGTTGAAGGGTGCATGGGGGAAAACCGCTAACAGTAGCGAGAATTAGATTCCGCAAACATGCATTTAAAGCCACTGGCCATAATTTCTACAATCCTTGCAAGTATCACATATGGATAGTTGCAATGACAGGTGCAGCGCGAGATGCTGCCAACCGGCAATCAACTTCCTCATCAGCAAGCCCCGGTTGTTCATACGTCGGATGACGCTATCCAAACGGATATAGCGAACAAGTATAATTGGGGAAAATAATTGCGTTATCCACTTGATAGCAAGAGATTAATTCAGTGGATAGCATTATCCACGATTTGAACAACTGGGCCCAGAAAGTTAAATACCTCCGAGGCAAAATCTGATTCAGTTTATTGTACAGCTGCTTAATTGATGGAGGGCTATGTAATTGTTATTTAAGCCTCGACCGAAAAACTATTTAAGCACTCTTTTGAACTAATGTTTACTGATGGATTCATGGAAGTCAGCTTTAGTCTCTAAATTGGGGAAAGCAAATTAGGTTCAAGCTGTACTAAGATCTTTTAAATTACTGGCTATACTTTTAAATTCTGAAGGAGGTGACTCGTGCTCCTTAGGAACATCCTTTAGGATAACAGAGAGAGGAGGTTTAAATTTCTGCTTTGTGCAATTTCCACTTCTTTTACAATGCGCCTGATGCTTAGTCTATAAAAAGCTTTCAACTTAAACCGTCTTTCCGCATATTGCTCTCTTTCACGCACTGGGCATGCTACGAAAGACTCATCAATGCCAGTGTGTCTCTTTCTTCGTGCAAAGATCTGTAGGTCAATTCATAAAGTCTACTTTCGCCAAATTATTTACTGCGAGAAATAAAAGAATGACGCCTGAAAGTTAACACTTTTATCAAAACATTTTTTAATTCAACGCTTACCTCATAAGTTCGTTTTTCTTTAGCGGAGACGGCGAAGATTGGAACGACATTCGATTCCAGCAAAACCTCGCGAACCAATCCTGGTGAAGGATAATCCTAAAGAAAAGAGAGTACAAAATTATTCGTAAGTTCCTTGTTGTGTGGCGCCATAATGCCTGTGCAAGAGGATTATTTTTATTCAATGGTCAGCCCATCTAAAGAAATCCAAGACAGTCTTTCAGTTGATGAAATTTTTGGATTCCACGCCGTGGATTCCAGATTACAGCCACTGGATTGGATTCTTTCTCAGTAGAACTTGGACTCCGGATTCCAATCGCTAGCGGAAGTCCGGATTTCCTTGAGCTGTATTCCGGATTCTAAAGCCCAGGATTCCGGATTCCACGGGCAAAAATTTCCAGGACACCGGATTCCCTTACATATTGCGACAATGGTACGCCATAAACTCAAACTCGAGCTCGCTGGTGAAATTTCCTTTCTCTCTTTTTACTCGGGCGTGCTTTCAACACTCTTGTTAAATCTTAGTTTCTTGATCTAAATGAAATGCTTTGCTTGTGGTGGAAGAGCGCATTAGCTCTCCTTGCTAGTTTACAGTCATTCCACTAAAATAATTAGAAACGAAAAATAATACAAAAGTTGAACTCGTCACTCCCTGCCACTCCCTCCCTTCTTTGACTATGCTCGATGTTGGCCTACTCAAGAAAGTCTGTAATACAGTCTTTCGTTATCATCGAAAAAGTCGATGCGAAATACTGATCGGTGGAGATGACATTAGTAATGCCGGGCGTCATTACCCTTGGCGCTTGCTTTTCAAAGTTTGTTCCATTCGCGCTCGTTTCCGCTTCGCGCTGATTGGCGGAAATCTGGCAGCTCATTCGACGGGCAGGCACAGATGAGAGCGCCCTGGAGAGCTTGCTCGGAGGCTATTCGGCCTTCGGAGCCTTCAAAGGGTTGACGTGGTTCAGGGAGAGCCTCCTTTTCTCGACCTTAACAAATGCTCGCAGGGTGACCTCGTCACTATCAGAAACAAATCTCAGCCAGTGGTTGGAGTTGGACTCGAAACCAGCGACCTTAAGAGTGCAAGTCTAGCCTGCCAACTACTGAGCCTTGATACCTCCCTGTAAGTATAATGAATATTGCTGACCTGGAAGCAGTTTTTAACTCTTCAACGTACCATATGTAATGATGCGGCGTATTCCTGCCCTTCAAGATGACAAAGACCGTCATTCGGAATAATCACTCCCCCAAGCTATACAAGGTAATGCACTTGATCAGTTTTATCATATGGCTTCCTGAGAATGGGCAAGACATAGCAAATCCTGTATTCTGACTGGCTACCCGAGCCAGCAAGATGGGCCAGCCTTTGTGCCTACATCTAATTCACTAATGACCACACGCTCGACCAATAGCGCATATATATATACTATATCACGACCTTAAAAGAGAATGCGGTTGTGCAAAAGTTTTATAGATCGGATAATCGCCTTATTTGGGGTGACAATAATAGGGAGCTAAAGCAACGTGGACGGCGACGTCAACGGCAAAAAACCAATAGGTTTAGAATGTCAAAACAACAACACGCTTTTTTTTTGTACATTTCATTGCAAGACTACGACGTGAAAATGCCTTATGTCACGTTTTATCACGAGGACGTGAACACAAGACAACGACTTTCTTTCTTATTTCCTGAACTGTGATAAAGTCTTTTAGAATTCAATTCAAAGAAGAAATTGCTAACATTTAATGAATTGAACGTGAAGTTTGAAGCAGCCCGTCTTCACTTTTTAAGTAGCCGTCGACGTTGTTGTTGCTTAATCGTGTGTCCCTTTGACGTTGTGTCTTACACCTGCTTCTGCCATTTGGTTGGAGAAGGTAAAGAATGTACTCTTTACTCTAAAAAGGTTTCTCCACCAGAGAGTAACATAACCTTGCCTTTGTGGGATGTGGTATGCATTAGAAAGCCAATCGGATAACTCCATCACCCTTAGCAACTGTAAAAGGGGATGCGAATGCAAATGCCATCAAATGCAGCTGTCACGAATGCGGGTGCAAATACCAATGCAGGTAAAAAGTCAAGTATCAACGCAAATGCGAATGCAAATTCCATGCAAATACAACTGTAAATGCGGATGCAAATCCAATTGAAAGTGCAAAAGCAAGTGCGAAGGCAAATGCAACGAAAATTACAAATGCAAGTACTAATATAAATGCAAATGCAATGCGACTTATGCAAAAACCGATGCAACTACAAAATGCACGTACGCAGGCAAATGCAACGAAGGCTACAATGCAAGTACCAATGAGTATAAGTGCAAATGCAATGCGACTTTTGCAAAACCCGATGCAACTACAAAATGCAAGTGCGAAGGCAAATGCAACGAAGACTACACATGCAAGGATCAACATAAGTGCAAATGCAATACGACTTATGCAAAAACCGATGCAACTACAAATACAAAAAAATTAAAACATACCAGTCCATCTCCTGCACAGTGGTAACCTGCATCAGTTGTTAAGACCACCACTCTTCGGGCCTCTTCTTTGTTTTGCCAACCGATTCTCTACAAAGCAATATAACCAGCATAATTTTCCAAAATGACCGTTACAGATTATGGCAAAACTGCAGTCAGACCCGACCACGTGTGACCGCCTCTCTTATGCGACCACCTATCCCAACCACCACATTTTTCCCAGTGAAATCACTACAGTTACACTCTCACGTCAGTGACCGCGACCCACATTTATGGATGATGGCCTAGTTAATTTTCTATTGTTGTTATCCCCCTGTCGTATGGTTTGATCCTTGTGCTCGTTGTATGTAGCGCACTACTAAGAGAATGCGATCGATGACAACATGAAACTACGAATGTCGTAACTTGGAAACTACTTGCAGTGAATTCTCTTATAAAATTTAGATGTGTTCGGTCCTCTCAGGAAGAGATCCCCTGTGGTACAATTTTCGTGAGCTCAATACCTCCCGTAAGCGATCATGCCCAAAATGCCACATTGGCGCCAGGCGAGAGCTCTCACCAGTGCACGGTTTTTTGATCCCCCCTCCGTAAAGGATGAGGCAAAACAATCATCAATGTACCTTTCCACAGGCAGCTACTTGAACAAGAGCGTCCAGGCCTCCTTCGGGACTGTCAATATTCCCAGACGATTTAAGCTTTTCAATGGCATACTGAAAACAATTATATGGATTTAGTTTCATTGAATGTAAACACTACAGTGTTTCGTCACAGGTCACTTGCAGTGCTATACCAAAAAAAGCAAAAACAGCAACACCAAGCGGAAAATAGACAGCAACAGCCTTGTTGGTGCACCAGGTCAGTCCTGTTAGAGTTAAACTTTTTTTCTTATGCATCAAACAACTTCTTTTGGTCCATAAGATTTCGCTGGCCACGCGGCAAAGAAAACGCTCTGATGTTACAGAGGCTGAGGAATGATTTTTGTCTCCTCTTCTTGCTTTGGAAAAGCGTGACAAGGTCAGGTTGGTGGTCAAAATACAATCTTTTCGCAGAAATCATGTTCATGAAAACAGCTTTTAGTCCCCAGCGAAGGAAAACGCTTTTGGTATTACCAACTAACATGGCCGCCATGACGACAGTTGTAAACCCGCCAGTTTAGCAAGAGCTTAAGCAACCACAATGACGAGGACAGTGAAACGTCACTTTAAAGTCGTTGTCGTCGCGGTTGCTTAGGCTTCCTATTGTCAACGCTGCATATACTTCTGGGTTGTTAGATACAGACTCGTCTCAAAGATTCAGGATTTCTTCTTCTAACACGCAGTTTTACAGTTAGGGTTGTGCTTAGTGACCTGGCAATTTAATCTGAGCGAGGTATTACAACGTACCTACCTGAAACAGGGAGACATTTTTATTCAGTGGAAGGACATTGCGATAACCGAATGTTGGAATGGAATTAGGATTTCCTGCATCAGGACGAGCAACCCTTCGAGAAAGTAAACGCAAAAAATATGTTTTCAAAAAGGAGACCTGACTGGAAGACACGCGATAAACGTAAACCAAAAGATAAAGTTATCTCAGTTGCACGAAAGAGAACATATACATATAAACAAGTGTATATAATTTATCGATTTGAACTGCGGAATATATAACTTTACATTTAAAGCGCAAAGTCCTGAGTTAGCTGTAACAAAACGTGTATCCAACAAGGGCCAATGGAATAACAAAAAAGTAATAATAATTCTCGACTTTTGATTTCGCTCAATTTCATTTAATTTATGTATAGAATTAAGGCGAGATCCAGTGAACCAAAGAAAAAGCTAAAACAGTATTATACGCGAGGTTAAGCCAGGGACGGCTTCGTGTTCGGGTTCTTCTTTTCATGTCCAACATTGTTGGATTAAGTCATAGCACTGTAAGATGTATGTAACCTACAGTTTTTGGTCGGCGGAAATAGGTGATCCAAACCTCCTACCTGCTGTACCTTGCATCTCCGACTCCAATCCCCTTCTTCTTGGCTTCTTCAATAAAGCTCTTTTTCGATTTGGAAATATTAAGCATTGTTGCTTGATCTCCCCCTATTTCTCACGCCTCCCACCGTTTAAGACCTTACCCCTCTTTCCGCCCTTACCCGCTTATTTTTCAGAGCTCCCGGCCCCCTTGCCTGCCCCACATTTTCGTCCTTTTCCGAGACGACTGAAAATTAAGGCCTAACAATTTGAAAGGTCAAGGAAGGGAGCACTTTCTTCTCATTTTTGTTCCTTAGCGTTGGTCTAGGGGAAATTGGGCCTACCGCTCTGACATTGTCTGAAGTCCAAATACAAATGCAATTACCTCTCCGGCTCAGAGTCCATGTAAGGGGATATCGGCTTATCAACAAACACACCGAGACCAAGACGAAAATGAGACGTCAAGTTTGATATATCATCGGCTAAAATATGGAAAAAAATATGGTTAGAAAAGTGATTAGAGTGATTAGATTGCATGGAGTACTACTTCCATTTCTGTGACCAGTTTATGGCACCCAAGGGAGAATGAGCTCATTCTCTCTTGGGGCACCGTAGAATTCCGAAAGTAACGCCCCCCCTCCCCCACACCCCCCTCGAAAAAAAGCAATAACAGCGTTTCCCGGGAATTACCGTCCTATTGGAGCCCAAAAGAAAAGTCCCTCCAGAGTTCCCGAATTGAGGCCCACAAGTCGCTACACATTCAGTGATTTAGGTCGGTAAATTGTCTAAATTGGATTAAGATACATTTATTTAGTCAGCGGATTCAAATGAGGTCAAATAATACTGTAATTAATTACACTGCGATATGATAGTGTAGCCATAACTTTCGACATTCAAAACTAACATATGGAGCTTTTTCTGTTTATTTTGTCAGCTCTTTTCTTTGGGTATTTATTCAACAACTAGTCAGTAACGGAATGACCATTCACAGTGGAAGCTGTCGTAACCGGGCACCCTCAGGACTCGAAAAAGGTGTCCGTTACTGGACCTGGAAAATACACGGCTTGTATAGGAGTTAAGAAAAATGGGGTTTTGGGAAGGCGGCCGTAAGTGGAGCTTGTCTGCTTACGAAAGTGTCCGTTAGGAGAACGTCTACTGTAATCTTATCTTGTGTGTCCCAAAACGACTGTAAATTACAAACGTTCTTTGACTTTCCCAAACTAAAAACTACCTACTCTAGTAGCAGCGCCTTTTGCCTGCTATTAATCCGCAAGTAAACGAGGACCGTTTCCGTCGGAATTACAGGGTATACTTCTGGGAACAAAACAATCTGGATCCCCCTCCCCCTAACCCACTTTTCAAATTTGTGTTGTTTGTTGTCTCCTAAAGGTGGTAGTTAATATTTCTTCTGCAGTCAATGAGGGACATTTGTTTGTAAACATCCATTGACCCCTTCCCGGATCCTGTTTGTTAAATTTGCCTACAGTGCCCGATCAGTTACCTAGCAACTGGCCAAGCCTCTTGATGGATTCCTTTTCAATGGATCGGGACACATCAGTAAGGTAATACAAATCAACTGGAAAGTCAGTCGGGGTGAGAACGTTGACAGTAATGGTTGTCTGTTGTCCTGTAAAAATGAAACGTTCATCATTCACAAAATTGAACCTCGTTATAAAAGATTTACCCCTTGTAATTTGTTTATGTTTGCTACTTGATAATGGGTCGGCGTCGTGTCAAATTATACAATGGCTAGGTTCACTCGGTAGCGGTCGAATTTTCGACCGGTTAAAAATTTTGATTACTGCAGAAACTTTGTTCACACGGAACCGTTGAATATTTTTGCGCTGTTCAAACGAAGCTGTCGAACCGCTATATTTCCAAGCAAAGCGAGTAATAAGACGACTTGTAAATCCATGTTCGCAATCTTTCTTACTATTTATTTCTATGGTTATATCATATATTTTTAAAGGTGGCCATTTTCATCAGCCTTACTGGCTTCCATGGGCTCCCTTGCCTCATCCATTTGAATTTTGTGAATGTATTTCATTCAAATGTGGCAAAATGATAATAAAAATAATAATACCCGGTCGAAGCTGCAGAGTGAGATTTTGCGGTGAGACTATAGCATCACCGTCTGGATCCTTTTTCTGAAAAGAAGGCGTTAACCGTCACGATCAGCAAAACTGCTTAATGCATAGTAAAATTACTAGATTAATGACTTACGAAGCTGTGTCATTTAAGGAAATGAGTATGAGAATATGTATCCATCGCGTCTTTAGCTAGGCTAGCTTTTAAGTTTCATATACTTCCAAATACTTCAAATACTCTTGTGGGGAAAAGTTTCAAATACTTCCATGAATACTCACATACTTCAATGAATAGTCAGGTCAACTGAGTTTGTAACTACCTGTAAAAAACATTCTTTGGCAGGGTTTTAATCTTTTTATTTGGCGTTTCCTGGCTTTGTTGGGTTGCATGCTTGGTGTATGAACAATGTAGAGTAGGCTTATCGTGGTGTGGGTGAACGCAAAATACTATCAGGCAGTGTATTTCCAGAACTCAAACACTACAAAAAAATTCCCCTAACTTGTTCATCAGTGCAACACATTTCACTCTAAACACTAAACCCAGTGTTCGCTACCCGTAGGAAATTTTTCCTCAATCAAGTTAAAATCGTAATCCACTTACCAAATGAACAGTAAATCCTGATTTTGGATTGGAGATCTTTTTGCATTTGTTTTGTTGGTGATTTACTTCCATGTCGCACCTGCTTCTGGGTTGACCAAGTATATGGTAATCCTTAATAAGTCATAAGAATAAAAATCACAGTTAGAGTTCTGATAATTCCAGACCATTAGAAGAAGAGGATGACTAAGAGTACGAGATTTTCTCTCGTACGTGAACCAGCGTCATTAGGGACTTTAAGATCTAACGACGCGGACGGCAACGAGAACGTCAAAAAAGCAATCGGGTCAATAAGCAAAACAACAACTTCGCACGTTCATCACGCTTTTTGGTACATTTCTTTCCTGTTTTTGCACGACTATGAAGTGAAAATGCCTAATTTTGCGTTTTATGGACTGGAGAGCGTAAACAAGCAACGACGAAATTTTATTTCTCTTTCTGAGCTTGGCTATGGTCCCTTGAAATTCAGCTTCAGGAGGGTTCGCCCACATTTGACAAAGTAAATGGGTAGCCCGTAATCGGACTGAAGGAACGCAAATTCACTTTCTAAGCGACGTTCTCGTTGGATCTTAAAGTCCATATTTTGGTGGGAAAACGTGATAGCCGTCGTCATTCTAGTAGGAGTCTTAGCGCGGATGTCGTACTCGTGCTTTGTGACAGATAATTTCAATATACCCTCGTTTTGGTGTATATTTGTGTCAAGACTCATAACGTCCATTGAAACAAGAAATGTTCGGTTTTTCACATTCGTCTTTTTAGTGAAAGGTATGATTTCTGTGATTTTGATATTTCTTGGTGTATCAACAAATTTTGTCAAGCACAGAACAAGGTTTTATTGGATTATTAAGAGGAAACCGAACATCCATGTTTTAACTAGGGGGTGGGTCATGCAATTTCCAACCTTGCTTTAGGGGTGGGTCAGTCATTTTTGTGCCGAAGGGAGGGGGTAGGTCATGTGTTTTTTATCAACCATATTTCCAAATGCTCTGGCCCACCCCCACCCCCCTATACTTTTTGACCAGTCTCTTATCAAAGGTTGATGGAGGTTTAATCACTATGCGACCGGGAGAGGGCTTTCCCTCATCCAAAAAAGATAACAGTGCTAACTTTTCTGGTGAAAAAAACTACAATGAAGCATTCCAGGGTGTCTATTTTTGTAAAGTGCGCAAAAAACCCTTTCAATAGTCAAATCTCGTCCTCGTAGCCGTTCCTTGAAGGTCTCCAATATCAATAACAAGTCCTTATTTGTCATGCAAGGTTCAAAGGAAAGTCCTCTGGTGCACTTATTTAGAATCGCATTATAGGGAAAACGACATACGTCCGATTTAATATCTCAAATTAGGAAATGAGAAGAAATTGACCACAATGATTAGTATGCCACTGAAAGAACCTACTAAGAAACTACCTTTCAACTGTAATATTTTGTAGTGTATAGATAACGGAATACATGTAGTAAACAACTGAAAAAGGGAAAACGTACCCAGTTGGTGCAAATTAACGTTAATGTTGCATTTTGATTCTAAATCTCTCTAGTTGAGTTGCCTCGTTAGCAAGCGCTAAAGGTCAGAAGAACCCGGCTATGCCTCATCTTCCATGTTTATAGTTTTCAAGGTTTTTTCAGCATTCTTGAAACTGAAAGTTCTGTTTTCAGGGATATTTTTTTTGAAAAACACGACTAACGAGCTTGAAAAATTGACACACTTAATTTCTTCGATTTTTTATACTTATCCGGCCTTTTGTCCATAAAGAAAGGAAAGTAAAAAATCCAAACTTACAATATCCTCGCACCATGTGCACTCCGGACTGCTAACGATGCAATCTGTGCATGTGTTGTACTGCTTGCAGTTAAGGTCAGTAGATTCTAAAAAATGAAAGAGAAGTAAAAAGTCTATCACTAGGATGTAAACTGAGGATCATGGTACCCAAGTTTATTATCTGTATTTATTATTTACAATTTAAATTCAAAATATTTCCCCGATTTTGATTGGCTAAAAGCACACGCATAATTCACCATAACCAGCTACTGATGACCAGATGTGGAAGACTTTAGCAATAAATGAACCGATGACGACAAAAGTGCAGCTTTCTTGCAGGTTAATGCACCGTTAACCGAGAAGACCTGGGGACGAGGTTGAGTTGTTTTGGTTGTGAAAACAAAAATGGCGGACATTTCACTTGTTTCAAGAGTAAGAACTAGGAGAAATAATAGCTAAAAACATGGCAAGTCCGGCAAGAACAGCAAGAAGGACAATTCGAAGAGCGACATATGCCATTTATTTGCCAATTTGAAGATAAAGAATATTTTACAGTTGTGTTTTTTTTTTTTCTATTCTGAACAATCCCTAAACGTGCACTGTCGAAGATAATTCTTTTACGATAATCGCCTCATTCATTAATTGTTTTATAATTTTTTAAAAAATGAAGTTCTTTTTTATCCGCTTGAAAGGATATCGAAGCATGTTTTAAAAAAGGAAACATTCGTATCACTTGTTGAAGAATCGGAAATTCATCCTATCAGGTGTACCGCAGCACTGGGAACATTTACATGCTGTCAAATGAAGGGGTTTTTTTTTTATCTTAAAATCCGGAGTTGATAATTGACTGTCTTTCAGCGTCCGAGAAAACTGTATTTAGAGAAAATATATTAAAAATTTTCCCCAGGGACAAAGGCAACTGTCCGTAATAACGAGGTGTCCGGATTTAGCGCCCTGGGGGAGGGGGGTACTTGGGTTAATTGGGTTAATTTTTGCTAAGCCGGTATGTGCCGCTGGCCTCTCAGAGCCCCTACCCCATTATAGTCTATTATGTGGCCAATTATAGACCCCATCTTTGTCACTTTTGGGAAAATGTGTAATTTTCGCGACCCCAACTTAGTCACTTACCATTTTTATGAATTGACCCATTTTTTAGATTGAATGAAGAACAATTTACTTTTCATCTACAGTACAAACATTCTGGTACGTTTGCTAACCGTAAATAAGGAGAACTGTCTTACCCCACAAATCAGAAAATGTGCGACCCCATTCTAGTAACTCTCTTGAAAATGCTACCCCATTATTGTCAATCCAGTCGTGAAAATGCGACCCCATCCAGCGGCACATCGCCATTAGCCTCTTATAAGAAAGTAGCCCCCCCGAGGGTACTCCCTCCGGGGGGGAGTTCGACTGTAAAGCAGGGAAGATGACAAATCTTTCACCAGCCTGTGTTAGAACTTGAAACATTTTGCACGGGAAGGTCTAAAGACTAGCATACGTCATGACTTCACGACAGATCGTGTTGGGTAAATTATACACACGACAGTCATACGACACATGTGGATATCTTAAGTGAAAATTGTGCGCGTGTGGATGGTCGGGGAGCAGGGATGGCGCAGTGGTGAGAGCACTCGCCTTCCACCAGTGTGGCCCGGGTTCGATTCGCGGACTCGACGTCATATGTGGGTTGAGTTTGTTGTTGGTTCTCTTCTCTGCTCCGAGAGGTTTTTCTCCCGGTACTCCGGTTTTCCCCTCTCCGCAAAAACCAACATTTCTAAATTCCAATTCGATCTGGAATGCTCGAGCGTTTAATACATGAGCCCCTGGCTCGGGAGATTGGGCAACCACTCCTCACGCTATCGAGCTTAAATAAAATTGATTTGATTTGATTTGATTTTTTTGGTCGAAAGTCATGACTTATGCTAGACGCGCACGATAGTCTTAAGTTTATTCTTGTCCAAAATGTTGGAATGCATACAATACATGTAAGGCCTTGTAAAATTAATGTAAAAATAAAGGGTAAATGCTTCAGGCATGCACCAAGCTTTACACTTACCCCCAGAAACACGTCTCGCAAAGACCCAACAGAGAAACACAAGGTAAATAGTCAGAATGGGCATCGTGAAGAACAAAAGAGTCTGCAATAAACAATAACATTTACAATATAGATAACGTTTTGCTTACAGTCCCCTGTCGCCTGCAGGCTAAGCGTATGTCTACTTCTCTAGTACCGTAAACTGCCCCTTATAAGCCCATCCGCTTATAAGCCCCCCCAGTTATAGACCCACCTACATGCAAACAAAAAATACATCCAATTATAAGGGCATCCTGATATAAGCCCCAGTTACAGTTTTGATTTTGTTTTGAAATTTAACTGAATTCGATTTATTGCTGCCTTTTTAAGGCTTCAATTGTAAGAGTAAAAAATTTAAATCATACGCCGATCAACAGTGCTGTTGCTCATTTCGAAACGTTTTTTTGTCGTCCGCTTTCAAGCCCATCCGGATATAAGCTCGCCCCCCCTCCCGTTTATAAGCCCACCCAAAACCCCTTACGAACTTGTATAAGCCCAGGGCTTATAAGCGGCAGTTTAGGGGTAATTCTACAGGGGTGTGTCTCGTAGGGGTGAATCCCATTCGAAAGTAACGGGAAGGCTCGTTGGAAAATTCTAATTAAAGAATGAAATCTCTATAGGAGACCATTTAAGTTTGGCTCATTGGATTGTTCGACCCCTAATAAAAAAAACCATTCTATGAAAGTCAGCCAAACAAGGATAATAGCTGTTTTGCAGACTGAGATGAAGACAACATTGAATGCTGTCGTTTTCTTTTTTTTTTCTTTCTTTCTTTCTTCTTCTTTCAAACTGCTTTCTTAATGTTATCTGCGTGTAGTTTCAAATATATATCTTAGCGTTAATTTCTGAGGGAGGCGTTGTGTCACGAGGATACTCGGCTGTTTTATGTCACTTAATGTGCTGAAGTCATTACTTTACCAATACACCCCTTAATTATGAATAAGATATCAAACAAATCCGTTTCACCAGGGAGCACTAGCTATTACATTTTCTTAGGTAATTTTTGCAGGCATAGCAATTAAAACTTGAAAAATTAAAGTTGGCCCAACTTTTTCAAGTACAGTCGACTCCAGATAACTCGAACCTTCAACGGAAATCGAAAAAAGTTCTAGTTATCGGGAGCGCGAAGAAAATAGCCGGGAGTAAGGAACAGTTTTTACTGCACAGTTAACGTTTTAATCACATTTAATTGTAGAGAGGTGAAGTGACAATTGAAGTTAAGATACTTCAAGATTATAAATCAGAACGAAACGTAACAAAACATTGCCTAAATAGAGCATGTGATTTACTGTTTTGAGAAGTAAAGCTGTTTGACGTTAGATTTTTGACAACATCAGCCTCCACTAGTAAACTTTGTGGCTACAACACGTCGTCAATGGGAAATTCAAAATTCAACGTTTCGGACGCCAGTACACTGATTTTTTCCAACTTTTTAAGGGCTCAAAACATGGTTCGAGTTATCAAGAGTAAAATTATATAGAAATGATCTGAGGGGAAACAAAAATTACTTCGAGCTAGCGGGAGGTTCTGGTCATCGAGGGTTCGAGTTACCGAGGATAAAATTACAGTAAATGTACAGTCGACCCTCTCTTAACGGATACCTCTATATGACGGACACCTTTGTAAAACGGACACCTAGAGTTGGTCCCTGCCTTTCTTTACTCCTTTTATTTGACTCTCTTTAAGATGGACACCTCTCAAAGACAGACAATTAGTGCCGGTCCCGAAGGTGTCTGTCTTAGAGAGAGTTGACTGTATAATTTACGAAAATCCAGAGGAAATCGGTTTCTGTTCGAGTTAGCGCGAGGTTCGATTCGAGTTAGCGAGGGTTCGAGTTATCGGGAGTCACTGTATCAATAAATGTCCACCTTTGCCATCCGTTTGCAACAGAAGAACGTGAGCAGGAAACAGTTTCAATGCTTAAAACTGAACCGTTATTTTTGGAATTCAATTGATGCCAAAACGTTTTAGCTTTTTAAAAAGTTAGCAAATAGCGCGACATGGACCCTTTAAAGGCAAATTTTCAAACCGAACGTTGTAGCGCATCAGCTTGGCGTTCTCGTCTCCAGAGCTCTTCTTTATTACACGTGACTATTAAGGACGGCAGAAAATCCAGGCTCTGGAGTAGCGCGTCTGATTGGATATGAAGCAAACTTTCCACCCATCAGAAGTCATACTAGATCTAGATAGTCATCATGCCATGCCACATGGAATTTCTGCGCTTGTTACTAAGACGTCATTTTGCGGGGAAAACTGAAAAACGGCGTTGCGAAATGTCTGCTGTTTTCTTAATGCAAGGCTCTGTTGGGCTATGTTATGATTGTTATTGCCTATTCTTTGCTCTTATGAGCCTGTCACTAGTCTACCACGGAAAATTAAATAAGCTTCTTTAAATAAGCTTCTTTGCTGACATTTTCACTTGACTCATAAAACTGATTCCTCGTCTATGAGAGCGTAATCTTACCAATTATGTTGAGACCACCGTTTTGAGAGTACAGATCGGTGACAGCAGCTTGAAGCCGAGCCCTGTAGTATTGTAACGGGTCACTGAGGCCATGTACCAAAAAAACTCAGGCAATACTTACCGCTACACTCTCAAACACAACTCGAAAACCCTCGCAAACATGTCATATGACTCCAGACTGCCCGCGCTAGGGAAGTCCCGGATATACACTTCAAGCCCGGCTTGGGCAAATACCTCACGTCAAACCAACAAATAGTCTCCCTATATGTGTTCCACATAATTTACCTACTTGAGCTTACTTAAGATACATGAGTTACTTCAGCTGCTTTGCCCTTGAGGTACCTGACATGAAGTACTAACCCACCTCCTTTTTGGTATCAGGCCTTCCATAGAAGATAGATAAGAAAGCGTATTCTTTCCCTCTCCCAACCCCCATCCTGCCCCCCCCCCCTCGAAAAGCATGACGACCAAGCCAAGGTGTCACGGGTCAAGAAACAAACATTAGCACTGAAACACGAGTTTCATCTCGACGGGCGTAAACTGTATTACATTTCTTATCGTCATGTCTGCGTTTCAAAACAAAATTTACAATCTTAACATGAAGCAAAGTGAGGCGCACTCGAGAGTTACTGCATGCAAGACGGCGGCCCGGTTCAAATATCGAAGTGTTCATATAATCCCTCCAATTAAGTACATGAAAAGATTTACGTTTGAATCAATGAACCCCAACATGTCTCATTTGGGTCAACCCATGAGTATCATGAATTAATTTCGAGTGACCCAAACAGGAATTTCGAATGTGGTCGACTTCGTTCCAAACGTCGTACTCTTCTTTTGCCGAACGTAATGCATAAAGTCGTTACTTTAATCTATTTTGATTGATGACGCATTGTACATCATTTTACATCATGATACTGAATTGAGTCCTGCTAATAATTTGGGTCAACCAGCCTCAACCCAAATAGGTATTAGTGTAATTTCGGTACATGAAAACTGGGCGCCCCTGAGATAAAAAATTTAGGAAAGGAGGCTGCAGTGTTTTTTAAAGTGCACACAAATATTTCAAGATCTCAGTAATTTGCTATTAATATTGTTGTTTATTACACAAGACTGCAGTGAATGTTAAAAACAAACAAACGGACAAAGGCAAACAATAAACTGATTTGTTTATCAACGGCTTTGAAAAAAAACCTTTCATCTCGCTTTTTAAGTTGCGTTCTTTCTTTTAAGTTCCTTCAGTCTAGATCCGCCAAATACAACACCCGTTTCCTCCAGAAAAGAACATCATTTTCTACAAACGATAATTAAAAATTCCGGCCCTCCCGGGCGCTGGGATTTTTACTCGCATCGAATGCTGAAGACCTTTCCCAAAAAGGTTATCTAATTTTTCGATCAGGAAATACTTTTGGTGACAGATAAGACGAAACAAACAAACTTGGAGAACAGTCATAAAATTTCTACGATGCAGAAATTCCTGCGTCACTTCAAGAGACAGCGACACGTTCCCTTTGCAACGGTTCCATTCAGTTACAGTATAGTTAATGCATGGACGCTCATAAACTTGACACGACGCGGTTGATCATAGTTCATAAATTGCTGCGAGAAGATCCGGGGGAACTCCCATATTGTGCCTACCGCGGAATGGGGTCTGTTTTCTTGGGTGACTGATAGTGTACGTATAAAACCACAGGCCGAAGGAGGAGAAAAAAGAGAATCTTAACTATAAACTTATTCCGTCTCTTTCCCCTCAAGCATTACTTCAAGTTAAGGTGGTAACAAGGCGATATATTTTTTGGCCTTATAAGAGTTCACGAAAAGAAAATAAGCAAGATTTTTCCACTGCAACTGAATTTTGCGTTATCTGTCAGTTTCCTTAAAATAGCGTGCCAAATTTCAGGGGTCAACTGTCAATGTTTTTTCTTTTCTTTTTTTGCCCAGGGTTTAACCTTTTGGCCAAAGAAAAAAAAATGAAAAACGAAAATCAATCAAATTTCTTTTTGAAAAAACTCCAAGGGAATGAAGACTACTATGCAAAGTTCTACTAAAGACGTTTCGTTTAAATGGAACACTTTAGGATTTCGTCCACAGACTCAAAAGTTCGAGAGACAAATCCATGATCTCGCGGATGTAGTCTTAAACGAAAGGTATTAAAGTTTTTTCGCGCATCCTAAACTGGTCAAGGTGTTCTTCCCCCGGGGCTCGCCCGAAGAAATGAAATAGAAGAAATCAATCTCAAAAGGCTCCTACTGGCAGGTCACTAAATGAAGTCATGATGATGCAGCTAGTAAACGATATCATTGTTGTTATCTTCAGTTCAAAGTACTTGAAAAACAAAATGCTTCAGAATTCTGTCACAGCTAGGATTCCGAGCATTTGTGCTATTGTCTTCAATAACGGTTTATTTTGCTCAGGAAGAAAGATTTGCACTAAATTTTGAGTACGATGTAACAAAGTAACTACATCGGTCCGGTGAAAATCCTATGAATGAGTTAATTTAATCAACAACCAATGAATTATGCCGTAATTTAACTCAAGTTTAACTTTTATTGCATTAAAAATCATACGCAAAACTACCTGGTTCCT